GTCAGTACCTGGCACAAGTGCACGCGTGACCCAAGGGGAGTCAGTACCTGGCACAAGTGCACGTGGTCATAAGCATCAGCTTCTTGCTGCAGTCTGTTCTTGAATCCGCGTTTTTCCCCATGGACGATTGTCACTGGTGTATACCTTCAAAACAAAAGAGGCAAGTTTAACTTTCAAGGTGATTTTTTTCCAAGTCTGGCAGGAAACTCCTGAGATTCACACACACCATCCTTTTTAATCACTATAAGTCCCTTTCCGATCCTCGACAGTTCAGACAAATGCTGAAAAATCTTTTGAAATACATTTGAAGAATCATGTGGTAATGGAAAAATAATAAAGTCCAGGTTAAATCTACCTTTGCGTTATTTATGCATTTTGCACCTATATACAGTAGCACTTTTAATTCTAATGTTACTGTAATTCCTTACACTTATATAGCGCTTTCCTGGACCCACCAGTCAAAGCACTTTACAGGTAATGGGGATCCCCTCCACACCACCTGGATGATGCGACAGCTGCCATAATGCGCCTGTCTGCTCCCCACACACCAGCTCTCAGTGGGGAGGAGAGCAGAGTGATGAAGCCAGTTCAGAGAGGGGGGTTATTAGGAGGCCACAATTGGTAAAGGCCAGGGGGAAATTTGGCCAGGATGCCGAGGTAACAACCCTACTCTTTTTCAAGAAACGCCCTGGGATTTTTAATGACCACAGGGAGTCAAGACCTTGGTTTTATGTCTTATCCAAAGGATGGCACCTTTTTAAAATATAGTGTCCCTGTCACTATACTGTACTTTACTGTGGCTGGATGACAACAATGCTGATTGTTCTCCCCTTTACAACGATGAGCTGGAGAGACTACAACCCATGTGCTCAACACCCTTCCGCCAGCAATACGCTACATTCCAGACTTACCTAAACTCCGGTGGGTACTGCTTCACCAGCCAGTGCACATCCACACAGTAATTAAACTAAAAAAAATTAAAAGAAGGAAATATCAGTTTCTGCACAAAGATGACAGCAGGACAAGCGCTAGATCTAAAATGCTTATCCTCATACTCTAAGGCGTTGCATTTCTTAATTTCTTGCAACTAAAAAAAGTGACCATCAAGACATGTATCTGTTTTTTTTTTTAATTAGACTACAAGACTGAAGTGCAGCCCAGGCCACCAGAGGGGTGACTTGGCTTTCTGTAACAGGCTCAGTACAACCACTTCCATAGACAAAATGAAAACTCTCTTTAAACTGAAGAACCACTTCACTTTATTTGTGCCAACTGTGTACAACCATGAATTGTTTACCTTTCACCCAGGAATTTCATTATCACAAATGTATTAACACTTTAAATAAAAGATCCATTACTTAACAGTAGCTCATTGGTTTCACACCTTTTACAGTAATTTCAGGAATACCCAGGATGAGCTGAAAAGGACTGGGAAAGAGGTCTTTCAAAATGAGTGGAAATTAGTGACTGAAAAGATCTCTCCAATGTGCCCAAGTGCAACTGAAACACAGCCTAGATACATCCTGGAACGGAGATGTCAAACTTAAGAAATTCATCCACCTACGCTGGTTTAATGGTTTTCTAAGTCATTTTTGAACTACTGTCACTGGACAGAATCATGTGTGCTGTTCACAACACAGTGTAGCTCTTTCAATAGTTTCTCACTGTCACACAACAGTCCCCAAGTCCTACAGAAAAATCAACTCACTCAGTCAAAAAATATTGTACAGCCACTTACAATCTTGATCACTTGATCCTGTAGACAGTGTGTTCTCTGTGACTATTTTTAATTGTTTTAACTGTGCTTTTTTTTAAATGACAGCGAGCAAAAATATTCATAACTCATAAAATTCATAACGCGCATATGATTGAACAAAACTAAATGTATGAACAGAACAGTAAGACAGACACTTCATCTCTCACACTTCATGAATACACGCAGGACTCAGGAAATTGCTCACCTGAACAGATTCCTTCAGCGTCCCAAATAAAGGAGAGAGGATATCTGATAAAGAACAATTGAAACCAGTTACTTCAGTATCGCTCAGCACTGTGAACCTCCAGGCAAAACAAGACAAAAATCATCCTTCTATACAGAAGCAATATGGTCCTACAGTACACTCACCATTTCCAATTGTAGATGACAAGATGTGAACCCCCCCCCCAAAAAAAAGCAAAGCAAAACAAATGATTTCATGCACAGCTCCAATCTTGGGGAGTCACAGAATATATGGGTTCTCCTTGCACCTTTCTTCTCATGACCTAATTGAGCAGACTGGACTAATTTAAGTGTTCAAGGACCTGCAGCTGCTGGCTATTCTGAAGAGGCCCAGAGAGCCCCCCAGACCCTGACCCGTGCCCTGATGCGTCCACCCCTTGAATCCGCAACACGCCGGCTCACTGCGTTTACCTTTAATGTTCAGAGCCCCCACGTTGTACTTCCTCTCTATGCCTGTCACTTTGGTGAGGTAAAAGCAGAAGGGTTCACTTCCTTGCAGCACGTCCCAGGTGTCCAAGGTCTCATCCACCTCTGGCTCACGTGAGGCTAACGGCACCCTCTCCGGCACACTGCTCTCCTTGTCAAGCTTGACCCTTTTGGGACTGGGCAGACAGGTCTTGGTTTGTTTCTGGCTCTCTGGCTCAGAGTCAGACCCCTCATCACTGCTTGAGAGGGCCCAGCCAGAGTCCTCCGGCTCCGTCTTCCTCTTGAGGGCGAGGTACATCTCCCCAGACGCGCCTGGAGATTCAGTTTTCACGGGTTCCCACGGGCTAGAGGCTTGTCCAGCTTCAGATCCAGGAGACGAAGGGAATAAATCCAGCTCATCCTTCGCCTCAAGCAGCTGGTCTGTCTGTCGGATGTTGTCTGAACTGAAGTACTGAGTCCTACTCTGTACCAAGGCAGAGTCTTCCTCATCGCTGCTGGACAGAGTCCACTTTCCATGCTGGCTCTCCTGCGACATCCCTGAGGCAAGTGAAATAAACGCAGGATAGGAGCAAAATCTGCCTTATTCAACACAGAAGACCTATTTGTGCCGAAACAAATCAACGAAAAAAACACATGACTGCGTCTGTGTTTATCCTTGGTCCAGCATATAACTAAAAGAGTGTGGGTCTTCCGTTTAATAATGCCACCACACAAATGGTAAACCAGGCAACGCCACGTGAAGCAAATATCTTATTATTCACCAGTCGGTGCCACCGAAATTCCAGCCCTCGTTTTCTGCACAAAATTGTCTCAGGTGAAAATCAACGTCATCTAAAGACGTACTGTAACAAATTAGGCAAGGATCGTAAACGTTAAAATAAAATGTAACTTAAGGAGTAACATCTAGGTCGCGCCTGAACTTTTTGTTAGAATGGAAACACTAAAGACGTACATACGGAAGGTTCAATCTCAAAAGATAGGAAGCGGTATTAATCCTCGGAAAGAGATTGTTTTTGAGTTGTTATGCCAGGTTATAAGGGGATTTTTAATGTTAGCTCTCATAGATAAGATTGGTTGTATTCATAACAGACTTTCGGCGTCCGGAAGAGGGGTTCTGTTTCTCCAATGGAGACTGCAAGCATGCAATAACATCGTGCAACTTTACACGAAAAAAACTGCAAGCAATACTGAACGCACCTACTGATAGTAGCACCATTGCTAATAGCAACAACATCCAGCAGTCTGTTTTCCAAACTATTTAGTAAAACAGCCTAACATACACTTTTGCATAATTGTTTGTTCGTTTCCGGCTTCCTAGTTTTCACTTTTTATAAACCTTCACTATAAATGGACGCCGTGTAATACAAACTTAAAAACTTACTGAAAAGGCAATAAAACGGTGCAGGGTGCTTTTCCAGACGAGAAATTCACAACTGGGTTTAGAATTAAATGATGGTTGGTAAAGTAATGTGGTTGAAAACGTATTACTAAAACAATAAAATATCTAAAACTTTCTTTATTCCATTATTTCCAAATAACAGAACTGTTTAAGGCTGCAGGTATTTTAATTTTAACTACAACGCCCCCGCCATTAAGCTTTGTCGACCCCCTATGTTCAGAAAAAATGGTGCAACAACATTTTAGTTCCCCGGACGACAAAAATTTCAAACATTAGCAACGTCTGTTACAAGCCACGATAGCATTGACATGCTTGACGAAAAACTAGAACTTAGTGGTATGGGAAATAGCCTTTTTATTAAACGGACTCTAATAAATCGTTAAGATGAAGAGAGACGTAGCATAAACTTAAAGTCAAAACATTTTGATGACGACTTCGCCCTAGAAACGGAAGCCCGCCCGGCTGAGCCAATCACGTTCCGGATTGCACACCTGCCAACCTGAACGGACCAATCAAGCGTCACCTTACAGTATCCAAGCGGTTCTTTAAAAAACTGATGTGGTTTCCGTAAATACAGTTTAGTTTGCAATGTTTTCGTACAAAACTAGTCTTGGCAGGCAAGAACCGAAAATTTCCGAAACCGATATAAAGAAGTTCACCTCGGTAAGAACCATTTTAACTTGGAATGATATTTACTGTCACAGTGCAATTCTGTTATCTTGGGAAATGTACATTGATTATTATTTTTGTTATCAGCCACTATGTCGAACCAGGCAAGTCAGTTGAAACAGATTTTCACAATGGTGACCTTGCCAAGAGGATAAGGCCAATACAGCGCGGAAAACGAGCGGGTGAAGCCACGTAACGTTAGACACGGTTGAACGGTGACTCAGAAATCATTTGACAAAACTGTCGGGAACGATTTTGATGTCAGGGTAGGAATGACTTAATTTTGCGCCCCAAAGCAGTAGTTGGTTGAGGTTTAATTTGTTTGCAGTTTACCCCCTTAAATAGTAGGATAGTACGAACTACGGTTATAAATTATGCATACAGGAAGGTGTTTTTCCAACTAAACTGAAACTAGAGAAGTATTCGTCTGGTATACAGAGAAAACCAAAGAGTAAAGAAAACAAGTAATTTCTGGTTCATAGCCAGCAGCTTTATCACCCTGCAGCTCACAGCTGTCATATCCTTCAGATGAGCTGTAAAACTGAGGTCCTGACCCTCCATGGCAAAAACTACTAAACTGAAACTAGAGAAGTATTCGTCTGGTATACAGAGAAAACCAAAGAGTAAAGAAAACAAGTAATTTCTGTATTGGCCTTATCCTCTTGGCAAGGTCACCATTGTGAAAATTGTGAAAATCTGTTTCAACTGACTTGCCTGGTTCGACATAGTGGCTGATAACAAAAATAATAATCAATGTACATTTCCCAAGATAACAGAATTGCACATTCTCGGAAATAGTAGGGGTGTAACCCCGGTGTCCTGGCTAAGTTTCCAACTTGTCCTTTACCAGTCATGGCCCCCTAATAATCCCCATCTCTGGACTGCCGTTATCACTTTCTTCTCATCCCCGCTGAGAGCTGGTGTGTGGGGAGAGTACTGGCGCACTCTGGCTGCCGTCGCATCATCCAGGTGGGGCTGCACGTTGGTGGTGGTGGTGGAGGGGATCCCCATTACCTGTAAAGCACTTTCAGTGGAGTGTCCAGGAAAGTGCTATATTATTATGGCTAGCAGCCATATCACCCTGCAACTCACAACTGGTAACCCGCTGACGCTAAGCAGGTGTGAGCCTGGTCAGTACCTGGATGGGAGACCTCCTGGGAAAAACTAGGGTTGCTGCTGGAAGAGGTGTTAGTGGGGCCAGCAGGGGGCGCTCGCTGATGTATAACCCACATCACCATAGTGCAGGATGGGGAGTGGCCTCTGCACCTGTCAGTCATTTCTTTTTGCCAATTGAAACAAAATAGGAGCATCTGCTAGTAGTTCAGGAGGTGTAGTGGGTGGGTTCTGAATCCAGTCCTGGACTGGGGTGCCTTCTACGTAAAATTGACTCTCCCTGTATTTGTTTGGGTTCTGCCCAGTTCCCTCCCACCTCTCAAAAACATGGTCGTTTAGCTTGACTGGCATCTCTGAATCGTCCCTTGTGGGCGTCCTAGGGCTGGCATCTAGTGGGAAATCCTGCCTGGAGCCCGCTGTCTCCAGGATAGGCTCTGGGTTGCCATGACCCCAGCCTGGCATAATTTCTTAAAGCTTTAAGAATAAAGGATGGGTAGATACTAATTTCATCCTTTTGGTCAACACAGGTTTTTCAGCAATGTGATGAAAGCAAGAAAGGGTACTTAGACAGAGAGGATCTGAAGATTGCCATAGTCATGTTATTTGGCTACAAGCCATCAAAGGTAAGCTTGCAATTGTCCAGGTCTTGCAGATTGCCATCAGTGTACTTGTTCTTAAGCCCACTGGAAAACTGGGTTGCAAAGACCGTCTACAGACATGACCGATTACTTCTAAACGAGATGAGTTGCATTGGTCTTGACGCAAAGATCCAGAAATGTTCAAGCTAGAATGGAAGGCCGACAAGTCACAGAAAAGCCAAAGACATTCTGCCTTCTGGGAAAGTGGCCCTGAGTGTGATTGTGTGCCCTGCAATGGACTAGCGTCCCGTCCAGCGTGTATCCTGCCCTGTGCCCATTATGTTATTGATTGGCTCTGGCTCCGCTGCGACCCTGGATTGGAAGAAGTGGTTAGGAAATGGATGGATGGCTGGTGTCAAACATGGCAAATTCCTCAAATATCCATGCCTTACAAAAACAATAGGGAGTGTAAGTGTAAAACTATTTAAACAATTATCTATTTTAATAAATGATTCAGGTATTTGCATTAATTGAAAATAAATTGGAAAAAGGCTTTCTGCTTTGCCAGTGTTGCATACTATTCTGTTTCACCCATTGTGCTGTCTTAAGGCAGTAGAGGGCACTGTCGCTTTTTTCTCGTTTGATACTTGTGATGAGATTAAACAAGACAAGAAACGGATGTAATTTTAATGTGACAGTCAGTATTTCTTGTAATATTTCAATTCTGCAAGGAAATCTGTACCTGGTGCTTTCACCCTAGATCAAAGAAATGGCAGTTTGGATTTCATGGGAGTTGTTTAAAGTGCTGAAGATCCGTTTGTTCCAACTAGAAACCTGTTGTAATTCTCCCCATTAGATTTTCTTTATAATCTTCCAAATGTACACAGAGATTTTTGCGTCTGGGACTTCTTGGGAATTGCTGTGCTTTTGTCACTTTAAAGTTCTTTCTAATGGCAAATAAGCCCAGCATCGTTACCACCTCACGGCCTGATCTTGTCACGTGTTCAAGGCTAAGCAAGGCAGGGACTTGTCAGGACTTGGATGAGAGACTTCCAAGGAAAACTGGGTTGGTGCTGTCATTGGAATTACTGGAAAATAGGTGACGCTGTTTCAACTGGATGAGAATTTCCACACGAATGCCCTGGTATAATGGGTAGTGACATGGCACTGTGGGATGTGCCATCTTTGAGATGAGACATTAAGCCTCTTTGACTACTTTGTTATTAAAAATGTCATCACGCTATTCATTAAGAGTAGAGGTGTTGATGCCGGTGTCCTGAGTAAATTCCATGCTGGGCTCGTGCAGTCTGACCTTCCCGAGGTTCCCAATCAGATAACTGGTGAAGCGGTTTCTCACTTCTCTATCTGATCTACTGTGTAGTGGGGATGCTATTTTGGGATCTTATGGGGTTAAAAGTGTTCTATGAATTAATTATCATGGAAGATTTTTCAACAGAAATTAATTTTTAGTAGCCCGAAGAAGGCTAAAACAGCACATCCCTCCATTTTCTAACCACTTTATCCAATACAGAGTCGTGGGGACCCAGAGCCTATGTCAGCGAGCAGCGGGCGAAGGCAGGATACAGCCTGGATGGGACGCCAGTCCATCACAGGGCACACACACTCGCACCAGGGCCAGTCTTCCCAGAGGCCAATTAACTAGTATGCCATTGGACTGTGGGACAAAACTCATGCAACCAACATGTGAACATGCAAACTCCACACAGGAAGCTCCCCAGGAAGTGGACCCAGGGCCTCCGTACTAAACCCATAATTTCAGTTGACATGGGCCACAGAACTTTAAATAACAGCTGCCAAGATTTAAACATACGCAAGAATTTGAAGAAAGCAAGATGCTGCCAGTTTGGGTAGACCTTGTGTTAATAGAAGTGCAGTTTACCGATATCGGTTATAGAATTCTATAGTGTTTTTGTTAAGAGTGGTCTGCAACTTTAAATTAAGTCACGTTGTGCTGTTGGTTTGTGCAACATTAGTTTTGTAAATGCTAACGTAGTGGTTTAACCACACCTCGCCCCTCAATATGTGGGCAGTTAACACTTAGATGAATGATAACAAATTAATTTTTTTTCCATTTCAATTTCCATGTAATTAGTCTTTGAAATAAAATATCTGTTTAATGTCATGTTCTGTTAATACTAGGCTTATGTGATAAAAAATGTATTTCAGTTGTTTTAAAAGATTTTTCCATTTTAAACTCAGTTCTGCTCTTTGGAATGGTGTATAAGATGAGAACCACATGCATTGATCTTCTTTTCTGCGTTACAGTCGGAGACAGACTTGTTACTGCATCCTGTTCTACAAGCAAATTTGCCAGGTGCTGTAAAGTAAAGCTTTTTGTTCCAAAACAAGAAAACAAAACAAAAATATTGCATTGATTTTCTTGTAGGCTTTCCAAAAGAATGTAGAATGATTAAGAGTTCACCTTGTGTTGTTAAAACGTATGGTATGCTCTTAAAATAGAGAATTGTTCTGAGAGCTTTTGAAATTTTCATCTCATTTCCAAAGAAATGCATCTTAAAATATTTCTAAAAGTTTAGATTTTGTATGTTTTATATTTTGTATATTTTTATATTTATGTGGTTATTCAATAATTACAAATTTTACTAGAAAAAAATACATCAAATGTAAATGCAAGTTTTCAGTACCTAGGAAATTAGATTAATATGAACTGTTGGCATCCTAGCTGCATTTCTGCAGCCTTTTTAGATTATCCTCTTTATTGTAAGATTTCTGGATGATTTCATTGTACTTCAATTCCTGTAACTTTTCTGTAGAAAACATTGGTCAGAAGTTTGTTTTGGAGCTAATTCTTTTAGATCTATCATTCTTTGTATTGTATTTGTTAATCTGTTATATTGCTTGACATATACGATGATGTATATTATGTATGCATGAAAGCCATTTAAAATCAAGCTGTATGTCATTTGTTAAAAGGGGAACAAATGCACAGCAAAGGCAATCCAGTATTTGCAGTGGTACTATTATGACACTTCAATATGCATTTTAAAAGCATGTTTCTTAAGAGAAATGAGAATGGATGCTTGATTAAAATTTAGTTTAATCATTTTACCCATTGCCAGTAATTAAAGACGAAATAATATTGGCATGAAATGTAGACAGGCTTTACAGGGTCTTTGACAGGCAAGGTTTCAGTTGATGAACATTAAAAGAAAGGGAGTTGGCTAGACATTTTTTAAGCAAAGATGTTAAGTGGTTGAAGACCTAGATTAGTAAGTAATTTGTATCTTGTTTTAAGCCATGAGCAAATTGCTTTTGTATACTGCCCTGTAGGAAAGCTTGAGATAATCTAGTTATAGCAGCATGCTGGTGCGATGAAATATTCCACCATTAAATCTTGCTTTGAGCAAGCGTTGAATTAAATTGCCGCTCTTGTGTATTTTCTGCGATTACTAAATTAGTAACGGTGATGGAAGTGTGGGATGTTGCTCTGAAGTAACTGACAAGACTTGGCCCGGCTCTGTCCTATCCACTACTGGCAGCCATAGAGAGGAGAAAAGGTCCCAGCTCTGCGTTCCCTGGGATCTAGTCAATATTGCCTCTTCCCAGTAGTGGCTGCATGTGTGATTTTTGTCCTGTTTTTGTTATTGTTGGCTTAGAAGAACAGTTTAAAAGCAGCTAACTATTAAAATGTTAAGTCAAAGGATGCCTTTCTCGAACAACTTCCATTTGAGATGCAGTAATGGTGTGCTTTGTGACAAGATTAATCTCCTCTCAGGTGCCTTTTTTCTTTATACTAAGTTCTTGAAATCTAAGAATATGGTTCCCTAGAATCCATGCAGTGGAGTTCAGTTGAAAAGACACTTCCCCTGCTCTGACACACCCTGACACACTGTTGATGGGAGTTTCTCTGTTGCTTGTAAATGAAGTGTGACTTTGTTCAGCCACCGAGAAGAAATCAGAATTGCAGAAAGCAAATTAGTTTAGTTTCTAGCCCACCAAAACAGAAGAGCTGATGGAAGGGTAGGCGTTACATATTCATTACGGAAAGACCTGGGGAAACGCATCTTGTTTATATTCACACCTTATCAGCAGTCACAACATCTGTAAAATATTGTAGCCTGTGTGTTGAAGCACCGAACAGCAATTTATTTTTTTCCTTCCTAGGACATAGGGATTGTCTTTGGAAATTAAAGAAGCTGTGTTACAGAGTGAAGCTGTTCATGCTTTGAGTGATGATTAGTAATGTGCTAAAAATGTTATTACCTGCATATCTCTAAAGTAGGTTCCTTAAACCTAGGTTCAGTAATAATTGCTGTAATATATCAATTATAGTCGCAATGACAATAATGTAGCAGGAATTGTAATTTGAAGCATTTAAAAAAGTAAAAAAACACTAAATAGGTCTACTTCTCTATTCACAGTAATTCAGCATTGAACAGTGTAAATATTTAGTTTCATCATACCATCCCAAAATGGTGTGCCAGTGACCCGCTAGGTCCTCAAATTATCGTACGCCACTGGGGATGCTGGCCAGCCCAGTTGCCACTCATTGGTCTTGTGCTGTCAGTCCAAAACCTCCGGATGAAGTTTCAAACCCAACTGCCTTGATCCTGCGTGGGTTCAGTGAAAAGATGAAACAATCATGTGTGATGGGCAACCTGAGCTCTAAAACCTCCAACAATCCAGAAGAGGTCTGGTCTGGATGCCCTTTTTGTCTGCTGCATGTGCGCGGCGCGAGTATTGTATCCAATACACTATGGCAGTAATAGAATGGATTTACAATATTGTTTCTTTAACTTAGCAGTATAGCATGTATAATAACTGAATATCTTGTTGTCCGTACAGTTTCACAAGTATTATGTGTGGAATAAGCTTCAGAGGTGGAAACAGTGTAGATCACCAGCTGTTTGATGTAAAACTGCTGCACGAGCAGAACAAGCATGTGTAGGAAGCAGTATAGCTTCTGCTTAAAACAGGACAGGATTTCAAAGATTATTTTGTGCATATTAAGATCATTTGTAAATGCCGTTGATAATGTTGAATATATTATTTATACATAAAACCACTTTGAAATTTCCAGTAAAATCGATAAAATTCCTAAACCATTCATTCAACAGGAATTACAAACAATTAATCTGCATATTTTTCTCTGTTTTACTGTTTTTATATAGTGATTAATCACTTATATAAGGCTTTATTTATACACAAGATATAATTTATCTATTTTTCTTAAAGGAATATCTTAAATGCAGTTTTGTGTGCCTCATTTAGCTATATTTGACTTCTAAATAGAAGAGGAGAATATTTTTTTTCCTACTTTTACAAAGGACCATAACTGTCCCATATACCCTCTACAGCATTCTGTGACGGAGGAATTTCCGCAGTTAGCAGAGGCTCAGGAATGCATTTTTTAATGGGTTTGGCACAGCCAGGATCAAACTGTAAAGACCAGGCTCGGCCTCACCACTACTAGAAAGTAGACTCTTGATACTTTGCTGTGAAGTAACTATCCTTGGTCTTCAATATGCATTTACTAGGACTAGAAGTGGTGTTTAATAAATTCAGGGCAGCAGGTTGTCTTGGATATAACCGGTTTTTTTATGTTTCAATTATGTTAATCAAAAATACGTTGTTGAGACGTGCTTGATTAAGATGTCACAGTTAATAGTTTTTGAAAGAATTTGAAAGTTGGGTAGTACAATGCAGCCAATACTTGTTTAATCAACTCCTTTGGAAGCAGCCCATCATGCTGAACTTTCATTGCAAACAACAGATGCACTGTGCTGTGTATATGGAGAGCAGAATCTGTCTATTTACTTTAGCAATGTTTCTTTATCAAGATAACTGGTACATGACAGGAAGTAAAAAAAAATGTTGCTTGCCTTCACTTGTGACTTTATAAGAGCTTCACTATTTTCAAGCTGGCTTTCCAACAATCTAATAAAACAGTCTACTCCCTGCATTACTGGAGATATTATCCAAGGGCAATTGCATTACTTGGGCATTTTGTAGATGTTCTGCTTCAGCTTAACAGACTTAATCAGTGACTTACTGGGTTAGGATTTTCTATTACTGTTTGTTTTGGGTTTTGTATGTTTTTTTGTGCATTATTTCTTTTAGAGCCTTAAAGCTCAACAGACTACACTAAAAATTGATTTTTGGCAAGGGAAGGGTGTCCTGCTTGAATGTGCTTTGAGTGTGTTTGTTTTTAGAGAACTTATTACCTCCTTTCAATGTCTGTTCTTTTTGTCCCAACCACCCCATAGGAAAGGGTTTTGGCTGGAACTCCTAATACTCATGTCTTAGTCTCTCAGCGGACAGTTACTGGCATCACTGCAGCAACACTGCCGCCCGAGTTGAAGAACCTGCATACAGAGGGCATCAATCATTATCCCTGATCTGAAATATTCTGCGCATATTTTTGATTCCCTAACAGTTTGCTTTAATTGTTAGCTGTCCTGGAGTGTTCAGGATATCTTGCAGCAGAGTTGGTGATTGTAAAAAAAAAAAAACAAACAACAACAAACATCTAGGACTCTTCATGCGTTTCTTAATAACAGTATCCAGGAAAATAATATACTACCCTGCAGGTTCGAATGAGAGAAATTGCTCTTTAAATTACTGTACTTAACCAGGGAGTATTGGGCCCATGCAAATGAAGCAAGTGTTTTCTGACAGCGCTGTACTAACACTGATTCCATCTTTCTTTTTGCTCTTCAAAGGAGTCCCTTTGGATCACTTTATAAACCTCATGGGGAGGAAGTTGTCAGTGCAGGATCCATTTGAAAAGACGAGGCAGATCTTCACAGCGTTTGATGTACACTGTGTGTTTCTTTATTTTTTTAACTACATTGTTAATTCTGTGTTAGCAAATATACCATAATCAGTTACAAGGAGGGAATATTTAATGTTAATGACTTGTTTCTATTAGTACTAAGGAGATGTCTGCATTAGTTCTATGGACTACAGGCATAAACGTGATGTTTTAAGGTTGATATGAAGTTTGTCAGAATTTAAAAAATGACATTTGTTTTTCTGAATGAATTTGATGATCAAGTGAATTAGTAATACATACGTCCTCTTTAGTCACTTTTCATTTTGCTTCTAGTCCCTTGGTATTTTTAGTCTTATTGATATTTGATGTTAAAAAGAAGTGCACCAAAATATGAGATCACTTTAATTTTATATATAGCTTATTGTCAGTACAGAATTCCCCAAAGCCTGAAGCTAAAGTTTTTTTTGTACATATGTTGTGATTTATCACTGGATGGCACACAAAGCAACATCACAATACATCAAGCAGTTCAAATTGATTCCTTTACTTGCTTCAAGTGTAAACTGACTTGCCTGAATCCTGCTTCATACATGATTCACAAAGGTCAGGTACAGTTTGCAGTATAGGGCCCTCTAGGCACTGAAAAAAATGCTTGTACAGAAAATGCACCTTATGGCATTTAAAAAAAAAAATGCTGGAATCTTTTTAGCAGAGGTAAATGATCACATGATTCAAAATTGCAGAAGATGAAATATCAGCATACGTATAGTGTGTTAGTCTTTGCCAGATCTCAGGGATTGCGGCTTTAACACTTTAAGTATAGAGCTTGTTTCTGGTGCAGAGGTAGCTCTGAAGAGTCTGTGGTATAGTTTAACAGTGTAGTACCAGTAAGGGGAATTTCAATAGAGGGCACTATGAGTCTTAATTTACGGCGGTTGTTTGCCTGTAGGTAATAGGGACCAGTTTTCTATGAAGTGCCCTGTATTAGGTAGATGATTGCAATAGATCTGAATGAGTCCACTATTTTGGCGTAAACAACACAAGACCCGTGCTTGGAAGGAAAGTCATGATTTCTATTTAAGTTTGCTTTTCCTGATATACTGTAGGGAACAGGGATAGTGATACGTATCTTTCCAGCCTACAGCATTAATGTCCGCATAGGTTGCTGCTCTATCTCTAGCTCTATTTTTTTAGGGTATCTTTCCTTTACATTGTTTATTAAATTTGAATTTTCTTTATTTTCTGGGCTTTGAAAAAGTAGACATTTATACTTACCGTAGAACATGTATTATCCATAGAAGTGGAACAAAAAAGAAAATTTTCTAGAATGGATTAAGGATTTAGGAAGTCATGTTTTCAGTTGATGGTGGCAGTGTGAAAGGAGATTGTCTGGATTTAGAGGAGCTAATTCAAAAGAAGAATCATGTCCAAAAAGTTCACAAGTCTCCTATCCCATTGAGCTACTGTACATAATAGACACTCCATAAATGTGCAGCAATATAAGGAAAATTTTGCTGGACAATTTCAACAAAGGAGTGAAAGGTACTGTAGGAAAGGGACAACAGATGATTTGAATTTAATTCTTGTTAAAATGGGCAAAACATTTCACTTCATTAAACTCGTTGACCTGCAATTACAGAGTGGAACTGTTATGTTTGAGAAGCTAACAATATCCTTGAAGTGCCATAGAGCATGTTCAATTGCTCCCTACTTTGGAGTCAAGATGTGTTCTGCATTGACATTTTCTTTAAGTAGAGTTAAACAAGGTTATCATGATTAACTGGGATTTGATCTGTGTTTTATGATGTTTGTTTTCCCATTCCCTTATTGAGTGGGATACATTTTCATCAAGTGGGCTACAAGCTGTGCTCATCTAATATCTAATTCCAAAGAATTAAAACAAACGCAATTTAAAAGAAAACAACTTGAGAAACTTAAATAGGTGTTACCTCACCATTGGATGGATGTAGAAAAGTATTTCCAGTCTGGTGGCTGGTGCCACTGTGCTCTCGTGGCTGCCAGGCTGTGGATGAGACCTCAAACTGAAGTCCGGACTGCTTGGTCCTTAAAGATCCCGCGGCACTGAGAGTTATCCCTGGCTGCTGCATGTCACCCAGGTGGGGCTGCACATCCAATGGTAAAACGTTCTATACAAGCGCTACAAATTATTGGTAACTGTTGTTTCATTAATGGCTTACAATTAGCTTATTATTTGTGTTAATTTTTCTTAAATTTAATGAGCCTATTTAATTGCTTTTACATCCATAATGATGTATCCTTCCTCATACACAACCTTGATCTAAGCATTTTGGAAGGGAGACTAAACATTCAGTCTTTTTTCCTTAAACATCTTTGAGATTAATCCATTGAGTAGAAGTATTTTTTTCGTCAGTAAAATGATTATAATTTATGAGCACTGCAACAGATGAGTATTTCTTGTACTGTTGATTTAAATTTGTGTATATAGCATTTATAATGCATATATGGCCTCATTATTGTACAAAATTTCAAATTGCTTCCTGTGAAGTACATTGATTAATTGAATTTATTAAAAGGCAAATGTACTTAAATCAGAATGTTTTAGACTTTCTAAGCATTATATTTCTTAAACGGTTTTCATGGGAATGATTTGCACTAATTAAAATTCCATGTACCAATGCTTGTGAAACTAAGGTAGCATTAACTTGTGTTTAACAGATCCCTAGATCCCAGAAGAAATATACTATGAGGCATCATAAGGTTATCCCAAGCTGCTCATCTGTCTAGTCAATCCTGAAACCATGGCTGCTCATTTGTAACGTGAAATATTATCTCACTCCAGGAATTTAAAAACCAGAATCCCACCCGAATGATCATCTGCCAAAGTGCTGGTGATGGCAGCTTATGTGATGAAAGTGATAGACATAGATTATGAAGAAGTGTTAAGGAGATACAGAGATGGCGCAGTTCAGATTAAGATTATTTATTTGCTTAGCAGACTTTCTTATCCAGAGCAAAGTCAGATAGCTGCCTCTAGCACAAGAGAGCAAGCAGAAGTAGTGGATACAATAAAGTAATGGTACAATCAGGTGTCGGCAATAAAATTGAATCAAATGCCTTTTGGTGTGTTTATTTTTAAAGGTCGTGGCTTCTTGACACTGGAAGACTTCAGAAAGGCGTTTTCTTCTGTTGCCCATTTACAGGACCAGACAGTGCAGGAAGCATTTAGGTACGTTCTCTTAATATGTGTTCATTTTACTTCAACAATAGATTTTAAGAATGCCCGTACTTTGTGTGTGTTTTTGTGAAGTGACGCTTTTTTTTCCTCAATGATCGTGGGGATAGTTGGGGATTACATACTGCTCTGCTGGGCTCATGGTCCCAGCTGTAAATAGTTTTAAAGACAGTATATGAAAAAAGGAGATGCATGCCAGTCATGTTTTAGGGTAACATTTTTTGGGTAAGACATCAAAACCCATTTCATGCGTGAATTAAGCCCAGTTTAGAGTGGGGTATCTGGGGTTGGAAAGCTTAAAATCAAACGTGAGAGTCCACATATCTCTCCTGATGAGTGTGTTCGTGGAAGACCAACGTAGTAAGGCACTACGGCTTAACAAAGTTTTGGAAAATACAATTCTGTTTGGAAGAGTAGCTGCATGGAAATCCTTAAAATTGTGATATGCAATGGCAAAAATGAATTCTACTTTTCTCTTTTTTTTACCCTTTCTTTTTTCACTGTTAGATGTCTTCACATTAAGTGCAAAGTGTACATTTTTATTTGCAGCAATGCTTGCAGAAAACATTTATACATTCCCTGCAATTGCTTTGTAATCTAGTTAGAAATTTAAAATAAAAAGAAAGGGCATTGAGGTACTCGAATGTATGTCTTTTATGTAGCTCCATTAAAATGCTCTGGGCTGCACGCTTATGTAAACTTTGATCTACTTCTTGAGCTGGATCCACAGAGGACATCCTCTTATTAAGTCAGGTTACGTTCACATGCCAAACCTGTCTTCCGCTGAGCTTCATCACAATCGATTTCTCTTGAATTTATGCTGAAGTTTTGTTGGTGCCAGTTTCATAGCTCTGACTGTCTAATTAGCTGTTGGCAAGCCTCTTTCAGAATCCTACAGGTTGGTTGATGTATGGCAGGTACTACATGTTAGTACTAGCCCTGCGCCCTAGTATAAATAGTTTTAGTTGGTGAGAGAGCCTTAGGCGGCAACCTTAAAACTCTCTCCATGTTTTACACCTAAAGTAATAAGGATTTTCACCTTTGATCGTTTTCAAGCTCAAAAATGTATTTTCATTATAAATTGATTTGTATTTTATATTTGTACTGATTTATACAGATGGTCATTTGAATGGAGCAATCTTGTGAAGTCCCTAGCTCAGAAATGCAAAAGCACCACCTCATCTTGAATTGGAGTGGTACAGTTATGAGTCCTAACCAATGCTCTACGGTGCTGCCCGAATTATTAAGAGACTAGCATTTTTTTTCCCCAACTGTTCAAGAATGTTTCTATCAGGGTTAAAAAAACACTCTATAATAACTGATAATTCAAGACCATGTGAGTATGGTATGTTTATTGCCATTAAGCACTTGCATTTTTTTTTTTACTGGACATCCATCCATAATTGGAAAGCTGCATGATGGCTGACTCTCAGCAGGGATTCTATCCCAGGATCATGTGGTGTTAGCCAAGACTGAACCCATGGCGGGACGCCAGTCTATCGCAGGGTGCACACATGCTTCAAAGTCTCGAATCAGACTAGCTAGCATGTCTTTAGGAAGTTTTATATAAGGCTCTCACTTGTGAATGAAATGAGATAGCCACAATACCAACACACTGCCTAGGGTTAATAATGATATCTCAGAATGTGGTATAATAAAGATGAAGGCTCATAAAATTCTTTAATTTAACCGTTGATCTTCAGAAACCTCAGAATGATACCTTCAAGTTAACCTTTTTTCTATACTGAGTATACGAGCCATCCCTTTTAACTTTGTCGTAAGTTTTCCAGTACTTTGCAGATGTTATTCTGGTGTCTGCTCATGAGATAATTGTTCTTTGATATGCTGGGTCACTTGCTTTTTTTCTGTCCATTACCTCTCATCAGCCACTACCAATATTGCGCAGTGTGGCTCACACCGTGTTGGCTTTTAAAACTGGTGTGAACACGCAGGCAGTGCTGGGGGGTTTATTCTTCCCTCAGCCACCCAGCAGGAGCAGCCAGTGATCCTCACGGGGGCTGGATCTGCCCTCGGTGATCCTCAGGGGGCCTGGATCTGCTGCCACCTTGACAGAAGCAGCACTAAGAGTCCTAACCTTCAGACAGCCATGTGTTCCTTCCATTGCTGTTCTGCATCTAGTGCGGGGAAGGATAATAAATAAACAATATAAAAAAATGAAGTGTTCTGCAGTGTTTATCTAGAAGCCCAGGGCTGTGTTTAGGACACATTATCACAACAAAGTGGCGAATAATGACACTCCCCCTGGTGGCTCCAGGGGCTGAATCATTGTCAGACTCTTTCTTCATGTACCTTGAAAGAATAAAGCCGTGTCCATTTTTTTTCATTTCCTTGCAAAAGAACAACACCCTTGTCCTGTCCTTTTTTGTCATAATTATAGCTGAACAATGAGCTGCCTTAAGGCTCCGCACGATTAACAGAAGGCTGGTGTCTTTTATGCCTGTTAGATTTATAGACATGTGCTGCAGTTCTGAATGAATGTTAACACATTTATCTTCCTGTTGCTAGTTGCTATGGTTACAGGGTATACAGTACTGGTGTCATCACACCTTCAGCATTGCCTGCGGTAGTTTGTTCTTTTGTTATTACCGTTTCCAAAGCAACTATCTGTCATCGGTTTTCCATAAATACCTGGGATATAGACTCTCGCAGTCATTGGAAGATTATCAGGCTCTGTTCTTTCTAATTCGGATTCTTAGGTCTCAAAATGGATTATATTTATTAATTTTGCACATTCCATGTTGTCTTTTTACAACAAATCTGTGTCAAAATGAAATCTGTTCACTGTTTGGCTCCTCCTTTATTTTAGATTTTACATTTAATGACAAAATCTGTTTGTTATGAATGGCCTGTTTTTATGACCTTGAGAGCAGTCAAGCCTGTTTGTAACTCCCCATTTTTTTCATAATGTACAATTAATTGTGACTTTCGTGTTTAATTACCTTCAGATTGTTTTAGAACACTTACAATGTTGAATGGGGGATGAATGCATATCAGTCATATTTTACATATAAAACATTTAGATAGAAACCATCAAGCTTTTGGTGCTTCATAGTGATGCATACTGTAGACTTACAGTACATCTTACATAGATTACAGATTATAGACATTGGCCGTCTTTCAACTAAGGATTTGAGCAAGGGATGAATTGTCACACTCATCACCACTCATTGCAGGAAAAATTCCATTAAACATCTACATCTTTGATTTTTCTATTGCAGTATCAACACTTCTGTTGTCCTTCTTCTGTCCTTTTGTCCACTTCTGTCCTTCTGTATAGCTTGTTTAATGTTCTAATAAAGAATGAAGAATCACTTAATTGTCATCCCTAAAAATAAATATCACGTAGTGATGGACTCAGTCTAAACCTTACATTAGGTGCAAGTATTTTTTAAAGGAAAGGGTATGTGAATTTCTCCCAATTGCTTCCTGAAACTATGAAGGAGAGAACAAACACCTTATTTGAGTGGTTCAAACATTTCAATGTTTGATGTCAAGCACAAGACTCCCGCATTTGTGAGGTCAGTTTCTGTATGTTTGGAAATGGTGACCAGGGCTGATATGGCATGACGTTTCCTCAAAGTCCCGGTTCATTTCAGGAGTGTTATTGCCATCCATGCTTCATATAATCGGTTGACCGTTTCCTATGAGGGAACTTTTCTTTCTGAAAATCCTGTAACAGATCAGTAGCAAATTACCCTTGCCAGTGCCCAGCATGAGCACATTTACTGCATATTGAAAGTTTGCCCTTTTCTTTTGCCACAATATCAAGGTAATTAAATTTCCTTTGTACTATTGTGAAAGGAAGTATCACCGCCCCTGCAGTTTAACGGCTTGCCTGTGGAAGCTCTCAGTACATAAATCCCTTGAAGTACCTTTTTTTGCCGTTGACACAATGAGCTTAATGAAAGCACAATAAATCAAAAGCAATCTGTAATTCGTCGTCCATTGAAAAGATGTCTAATGGTTCAGTGATATGTTGCTTTTGATACCCCAGTAAATGTTGAGTGAGTCTTGACTTTGCTTTGGTAGCTGAAGTTGAATATTTGACAGTTGTTGATGAATTGTACAGAGCCACCCTTCCTTCTCAATAGAAGCTGTTATTCTTCTGTATCAAATTACATACACAAATTTAAAGCCATTCTTCTCTAATGGGTTTTTATAGTCATGCCAATGAAATCTAAAATGAACAGGAAGCAAATTTAATTCTTTTCACTGTTCTTATTAACTTAAAGGTGGAATCTCTTATATTACATTGAATCTTAAATCTTACATTTTACGAATGATCTATACATCAATGTTACAGAACTCTAGTATGTTTCTGCATATCAGTAGATCTGCCTACCTGTGCCAGTCAGCGATTTTGTTTTTTGGCATTACTTAATGCCGGCATTGTGTTTCATCATGTCTTAAGCTGTAAAATTATCTTGAACCAAGTCATGTAAGTGTTTTTCTCACTCTTTTTTTAAAAAAAATACTGACTTGGAGTTACTCCTTCAGCAGTCATGTAGGTCAAACACTAGAGAGGAGCAAATTGCTGCCCTGGCGAGAGTAGGGAGTCTGAGAAGCTGCTGTATGACTGATAAAAAGCTCACTGTTTATCTAGGGTTTCACTAGGCATGTGTGTAGGGTACCACTGCTTGGGTATCATGGGCAGAAATGTGACATATTGTGAACTTTCCCCTGGCCTGCTTTCAGGTGATGCTACTTTAAATACCTCAAAAGGCTGGCAGAGCCTCAAGACTAGAATTTGGCTCTTTTGTCACTAAATCATTTTTAAAATAAATTATGCATACCCTTGCATTTTTTCTGCTCCATTTCCACGTGACTACTATGTGATGAAGTAGAACGTCTACCTCTTCAATGCTAATACTATTTAGTATAAATGTTCCTTTAATCATCTTGAGGTGTGCTTTAATTTTTCATTGCTAGACACCTGAGTAAAATATTAATTTAATGCATCAGTCGTTTCACTT